CAGGCTGTCTTGCTTAATTACAACCAAAGCTACTGAAGTGCCACATGTTTCCTGCTTGGTGGCTATAGAGGTGCTTTAATAGTTTATTCTAAAAAAGAATTCAAACCAATACTAACAAGGAAAACATTTCACGATCAGAAAGAATATAGATATTCTGTCATTACCCATCATCATTCTTGTCCTACAAATAAAATTCAAAGTTCAAATTAACTAATAATTTCAAATTAATGTTTGAAACCTAGAGGACATCAAAACCAAGGGATATTTCTTTTTCATATTTTTTTTTCCCTGAAAAAAAATGTGTTTTATGTTATGGAGTTTATATCATCAATGATATACACAGATTATGTAAGTTAAAAGTGACACAGCGTTTTTTTTACTTACAAAGCATATTTTTTGTTTACAATTCCAACATATTTCATTTTTAGTTTTGTAGTATCAAGATGTTTATATCATCTACAAAAATATGTGATATCACGTACCATCTTCAGAAATATCTATCACATACATATCTACATATTGTGTGAAAATAGTCAAATATATAAAATATGAAATTATTTTGCAGGATATATCCATGATAATATGTAATATCACATTATCTATGAAAATATTTAATATTATATATCTACGAATATATTTAACATTACATATCTACAAAAATATTCAATATTATATATCTATGAAAATATTAAACATTACATATCTACGAAAATATTTAATATAATATATCTATGAAAATATTTAATATTACATAACTACGAAAATATTTAATATTACATATCTACGAAAATATTCAATATTACATATCTACGAAAATATTCAATATTACATATCTACGAAAATATTTAACATTACATATCTACGAAAACATCTAATATTATATATCTATGAAAATATTTAATATCTTATATCAGATTAATAACAGTTTAAGATAAAAGACTATGGATTACAGAATATTCAACAAAGCTACAGACATATATCTGGATATTAGAAACATCATGTATATATCGATCATATGTAAGCTAGATACTAATAATACATTTTGTTTATGTCATGTGATATATCATATATAATCATTATAACAAGATCTACATTTGATACAAATTAAAATTAATTAAATTCTTCTGCGAAAATTCTTTTTTCAAAAAACCCTGTTATTTCCAACATGCATACCATTATCTATCAATCTAATTATACCCATGAGACAAAGCCATGTAAGTATGTATATATATTGTGCACCAGATTTCTGATTAAAAAAGGTCCATCTTTCAGGGAGATATAAACTAGGCAGGTGAGTGATTCACATTTTCTCATGAAATCAAAGGGATTCGGTCAATGGGAAGCATCTGTTTGTGAAAGTGTGGCGAGGTTGATACACACATTTTTTGAGGGGGAAGGAATGGGGAGGGGATAAATTCCCAGCTGTGGCAGAGGGGGAAAGAGAGAGAGAGAGAGAGATCAAGATCAACTCTAGTTTACCTCAGCCTCTCAGCAGAAACATGATAGATTAGTCTGGGATATGTAGATGAGGTAAACACTATCATCATCTGCCACACCACACTGTGTGAGTACTTGGGAAACATCTAACACAATGATATATATAAAGCTACCCTATTTTTAAAACTTTCTAAAGAACACAGAACAATGAACCTAGAATATTAACCTATATGTATCTTTTTAGCTTTGAATTCTTGTAAACTTCATCTGATTAAAGCTTAGTTGTTTTTCTCACTATTCCTAAACTGTAATTACAACAGGCTATCACATCCTGTCACTGCATTGTTAGATTACATACATAGCCAAATCATACTGACATCACAAAGATAGAGAAAAATCAAGATACCCTTGGAAGTCAGAATTGCATTGTGACTAACAGGACTGAGGTAACCAGATATTAGAATTACATGGAACCATGGGTAAATCTGAACAGGACTGAGGTAACCAGATATTGAAGACACACGAAACCATGGATAAGTCTGACAGGACCGAGGTAACCAGATATTGTAGAAACAAGAAACAATGGATAACGCTGGACAGGACTGAGGTAACCAGATATCAAAACTACATGGGACCATGGATAAGTCTGGACAGGACTGAGGTAACCAGATATTAGAACTACATGGGACCATGGATATCTCTGAACAGGACTGAGGTAACCAGATATTGGAGACACACGAAACCATGGATAAGTCTGAACAGGACTGAGGTAACCAGATATTAGAACTACATGGAACCATGGATAATATGAACAGGACTGAGGTAACCAGATATTGTAGAAACACAGAACCATGGATAAATCTGGACAGGACTGAGGTAACCAGATACTTGAGAAACAAGAAACAATGGATAACGCTGGACAGGACTGAGGTAACCAGATATCAAAACTACATGGAACCATGGATAATATGAACAGGACTGAGGTAACCAGATATTGGAGACACACGAAACCATGGATAAGTCTGAACAGGACTGAGGTAACCAGATATTAGAACTACATGGAACCATGGATAACTCTGAACAGGACTGAGGTAACCAGATATTGGAGACACACGAAACCATGGATAAGTCTGGACAGGAGTCTGAACAGGACTGAGGTAACCAGATATTGTAGAAACACAGAACCATGGATAATATGAACAGGACTGAGGTAACCAGATATTGAAGACACACGAAACCATGGATAAGTCTGAACAGGACTGAGGTAACCAGATATTAGAACTACATGGGACCATGGATAACTCTGAACAGGACTGAGGTAACCAGATATTGTAGAAACAAGAAACCATGGATAAGTCTGGACAGGACTGAGGTAACCAGATATTAGAACTACATGGAACCATGGACAATATGAACAGGACTGAGATACTGAAGATATATGGTACCATGAAAAGTCTGGACAGGACAACTCTATCATAAGCAAAGAGTGTCTGGAAAATGTACCAAGGAAGTAGTCAGTGTTGAAAGGAGTTTCTTCTGTAAGATGTTCTAGATTTTCTAGACAGGTCATCATCACTTATGGATAACAAGGCTTCTTTTTTCTTACACCTCAATCTTAAAATTCAATCAAACTGTCTTCCCTCAGGCCTTATCCACACCATCCCAAACTCCAAAGTTTTACATTAAGTGGAGGGGTTGTATAAGACTTAGCTTATCTTTGTTTGTTTAGCAAAGCCAAGTGTGTGTTCCGGTTACAGTGGGCTATGATTAATGTTTGTGTCTAAATATATCTATTGCCAGTGAAAACTAATGGAGGATGAAAGGGAACTGGAGGGGTCTTCTCAAAACCTAATTCCAGTTTTGTTTAAAAGTATTTCCTTATACAAATAAATGTCTAAAAACTATTTCCCATGTTTTACTTGCTATATTGCTTTTTTTGTATCTATGTTCAAAATTTTAGTTTCAAAATTGTGTATTCATCATCTAAATAATTATTCGATATTTCTGAAATCATGCGAGATAAAAGTTTCCTTTAAATTTAAATTATTTTCCTTGTCATTTTTTCTGAGTGCTTTAAAGCATGCATCACTATCTGATTCCTGTTTTGTGTGATTAACCTTTGACCTGCGTCCCAACACCAAAAGGTTATCCTACTTTCACTTTGTTGATACAGATAGATATATACTGTCAACTGTCATCAATAAAGTGTTCTGTTAAACCTGCCAACCTCTACGATACAGTTATAGAGATCAATGTTATCTGATCCTATAGACTGTTACAGACAGAGATTACCAAAAGATAACGACGTAATACACAGCAAATACAAATTTTACGATTTCTGAGATCTTTATCAACTCTACTGTCTAAAAATTGTTATCAGCTTCATCATTCTCCTCTTTTCAATTTCCAATTATGAAATATTTTATTAAAAGATTTAATCAAAAGACAGTATCATTTTCACATAAATCTTAAAGACCAATAATCGTTTGTTTTAATTTCTTATTTTTTATACAAATCCACTGTAACCTTGATAATGGATTTTTTGATTTTTTTTTGTATACAAATTCATTGTTACCTTGAAAATGGATCACCTCAAACAATATCCTCACCAGGAGAGAAATGTTCTTTATCAAATCTTTCTAAAATGTTTAACGTTTAAGACTCATCCTTACAAACAAATCTTTTATACTTCTGGATTTGACAGGCAACAATGAGGAACAAGTTAGTTTACATACGTATGTATACAGGTATAGCGGCTGTGTTAGTCCTGATACCATATACTCAGGTGAAGGTTGTTAGTCCCTGACCAGGTACATGAGGTGAAGGTCATTAGTCTATCTGGTATGTGAGGTGAAGGTTGTTAGTTTTGACCTTGTATAGGCCTAAGGATATCGTTAGTACTCTCCCAGTATACTGATATGTTTTATAGGGTCCTGATTATATTTGGTGCCGGTACCTACACTTTTACCACAGGACGAGGTATCTTGGGGGATGATTGAGGCAGAAGCTGGGGGGATGATTTTCTTGGTAACTGAGGGGACGCCTGTAGCTGCTGCAAGGGGGCCTGTGTAGGAACAGGGGGTGGAGGTATTGGGGGACGATCCATTCTGAAAAAGTGGCATTATTTTAAACATAATGTACAAATTTGCCTATTGTACTTAAGCCATTTGTACCTACCAAAGCAAATACCTTACCAATGTCACATCAGGTTGTTCAGGTATACATTATTTCGCACAATGAATATGATAAACAAATTATGCAGTTCAAATAGTCAATTTAACGCTGCAAAAAGGAGATAATTCAATTAACACTGTTATCAATAGATTTCTTTGACAATTCAGCAATGCAATAGAAAGATATAGTACAATCTTTTGAAGGAACCAACTTATTTTCTTTCAAAAGAAAAGTTGAAGCAATTTTAGAGCAGTAAATTCGGCTAGATAAAAGGGTGAAGCAGCAATGTGCCAAGGGAGATAACCTGATGCAATAAAGGCGCCAGACTGGAAGTGATTGCAGAGTTAGCAGGTGTTCTAGATTAAATATGGTTTATGTGTTTTACATACACTTTAACCCCAGCTCGTGGGATTTTAGGCGACTGACGCAAAGTCTGGGGAGGTGATTGTCGCGGTAACGGGGGTGTGGTCTCAGAGTTGACTATCGGGGGAGGTGGTTGCTGTGGTATCGGGGGTGGAGCACTGTCCACAAATCTGAAAAATGCCAGACATGATTTAGCAACATATACAAATAACTTTATTGAATACCAGCCAGAAGTAGATATTTCCCATCCATATTTTCTGTTTTCATTTTATTTTCTCTGGAAAAAATCAAATTTAAACATGTGAGCATAACAATATTACATTCCTTCTCCATTTGCAGTTGGATACTGTCTATCTATATCAATCTTCAATCACATAATTTGACGTGAAGAACTTCAAGAAAATTAATATCTATACTTTTAGCTATGGTAAAATATGATATATATAGATCTTGTCTGGTTCTATAGATGATATTGTTTTCTATGAGGCAGCTCTTGGCAACAAAACTGTTCGTTTTAAATCTTTTTGTTTCAAAACTTTGTCCAATACAATCACAAAGTTAAAGATTGTAAATTATCACGGTCATAATAGACCTTTCTGTGAAACATGATTACGGAGTCAAAGATTGTCTGTGAAACATGATCAGTGTCAAAGATTGTCTGTGAAACAGGATTACAAAGTCAAAAGTTGTCTGTGAAACATGATTACAGAGTCAAAGATTGTCTGTGAAACATGATCAGTGTCAAAGATTGTCTGTGAAACAGGATTACGGAGTCAAAGATTGTCTGTGAAACATGATTACAGAGTCAAAGATTGTCTGTGAAACATGATTACGGAGTCAAAGATTGTCTGTGAAACATGATTATGGAGTCAAAGATTGTCTGTGAAACATGATTACAGAGTCAAAGATTGTCTGTGAAACATGATTACGGAGTCAAAAGATTGTCTGTGAAACATGATTACAGAGTCAAAGATTGTCTGTGAAACATGATTACAGAGTCAAAGATTGTCTGTGAAACATGATCAGAGTCAAGGATTGTCTGTGAAATATGATTACAGTCAAAGATTGTCTGTGAAACATGATGACGGAGTCAAAGATCGTCTGTGAAACATAATCAGAGTCAAAGATTGTCTGTGAGTATACAATCAGAAAGTTGAATAATATTAATTATATAAGGATTATTTATTCAAAAGAAAACAATGTTACAAATATTTACTACAGTTATTGGAATGGTTATGTCAGTTTCTAAAACCAGAATTTAAATTCCTTTTCATTCTATATACTAAAAGTTCCACTCTAATTTTCACACCAAAACCAATTCTGGTATACCAATATAGAAAAACACACAACTGCAAATATCCATTTGGCTAAGTCGCATAGGATTTAATTAAGTTTCAAGTAAACATATTGCAAGGTGTGACACACTCCCCAGTAGATGTACGAGATCGGTATTAGAACGTAGCAGCTAAACTTGATTTAAACGGTAGATTGCGTGCTACAGCTAATCCATCTTTGTATCTGTATTAGTCACGACCAAGACTTCCTTCTTGGTAAACATTGCGACAATTCGACCGCTACATCTTCAGAAAGTGAATTAGTTCACATTACTGCAAGGTTGTGGAGTGGCCAAAAATGTCAACATTCAGGACCTCTGTCATCAATACCTATTGGTTTAACTGTTTGGTGTGAAGATCCGAACAACGAACAAAATAACGTATTCCCATGTCTGCCGTTTGTTGATGGCTTATGTCACATACCATACCGTAATACTTTCTTTGCAGAGAAGAAACAAAGAAACTCTCTTGCAGCAGAATGTTTCTGCCACTATTAACTTTGTCCAATTCTTCCTAACTCTACTTTTCATTATAGTGTTTTCATTCCTTAACTGATGGATATCTTACTTCTAAATATTAGTATAAGAATTGTGCGATTTGTGGAAAATAAGACATATGGTGATGGAGACGTTGTCTGGAATTGATGATCATGTTCTTTATATTTGGTCTGTAAATAAAACCATCTTCTCTAGAAAGATTCGATCATGTACAACTTATTTATTCTTAAACCTGAATAAATTTTGCTAATCTAGGTCATTCTTTAAACAAAATATTTAAAACTGGTGATCAGTTCTAGCTTCAGCAGCAAACTTGATGAGTCTCATTATTTGCCTTATTGGTGAACGGGCGAAGCAGACAAAAGTTAAACCTCAGGGAAAGTTACTTGATCCATATTGATTTTTCATATTTCAGAATTCATTTGTTTGTTTCTTGTAAATTAGGCAATTCTGAGGATGCTCGATTAATTTGTTTTCGTTTTGTGAAGGAATCCAAAACCATGGTAAATCACCAGTTATGTGCTTAGCGATCTTTGAACCCAGATCAATTATGCAGTCATTTATCTTGGGACCTTCAAAACCAAGTAAATCTTTAGTCATCTATTTAGAGACATTTGAGTCTAGGTCAATCATGCAGTCATTTTTCTTGGGAACCTTGAAGCCACGTCAACATCAGTCATGTCTCTAGTGACCTTGAACCAAGGACAATCATGCAGCCGTGTCTCTAGAGACCTTGAAACCAGAACAGTCATGCAGTCATGTCTCTAGGGACCTTGAAACCAGAACAGTCAGGTCTCTAAGGACCTTGAACCCAGGTCAATCATGCAGTCATGTCTCTAGGGACCTTGAAACCAGAACAGTCATGCAGTCATATCTCTAAGGAACCAGCAAGTCATGTCTCTAGGGGCCTTGAACCTAGGACAGTCATGTAGTCATGTCTCTAAGGACCTTGAACCCAGGTCAATCATGCAGTTATGTCTCTAAGGAACCTTGAACCCAGGTCAATCATGCAGTCATGTCTCTAGGGGCCTTGAACCCAGGTCAATCATACAGTTATGTCTCTAAGGAACCTTGAACCCAGGTCAATCATGCAGTCATGTCTCTAGGGGCCTTGAACCCAGGTCAATCATACAGTTATGTCTCTAAGGAACCTTGAACCCAGATCAAATCCTGGCCCTGTCATTATCATTATGGATAAAATAGGGTGCTTTTGATGATTTCACCAAGATAAGGAAGTGTTTTCACTACAATGTGGAGGTGTTTTCAAGGAGATGTGGAAGTGTTCTCTTGGAGTTTTGAAAGGTTTGAAGGTGATTTCACTGTGTCCTGAGGGGTTTTCATTGAGATGTGGATGTGTTTTCATAAAATATTGATAAGAGTTTTCACCGAAATGTGCACTGTATTCACTGAGATGCGGAAGAGTTTTAAAAGCGATGTAGAGTAGTTTCACTACATACGGTAAGTAATTACAAACGAGACATAAGGTAAAGCAGATATGCCTTTTAATAGTTTATATGATATACAACATCTATTGTAGCAATGACATTTCTACAACCATCTTCACGTAATGTCCAAAAATATTTAATGTATTACATGAGATGTTTGTGGGATCCTTTCGTCACTGAAGTCTAATAATCCTTTGGAGGGTGGAAACTTTAGTAGATATCATGTAAGTATAAATCTGTCATCTAAAGTCTTATTCATTACATTTTATTTTGTTTGTCTATAGCTAGAAAAATGATAAATACTTCTACATGACAAACATCTCATGTTATACAGCAGATTTCCACAATAACCTTGACACATACTTCATGCTGAAATATTTTTCTTCAATTTTCTTTATACATCACGTTTTGAAAACCTTTTGGCTAGTAGTTTTTTTCTCTCTTAAATTTTCATGATATTTCAAGAACTGATATTTTTTATATTTCAAAACCTGAACCTAAATTTCCACTTTTAAAAGAATCAACCAAATAACAATACACTTTATAAAAATAGAAATTTTTACTTTTTTCAATGTAATATTTGTCTTCTTTTTCCAATGTGTTTTAAGTGAAATTAACAAAAGAGTTTGGATTAATACAAATGAAATTTAGTTTAAAGCTAATTTTATGAGAAAATGCTGTGGAAATCCATAATATTCTGAACAAAGCATATATATATATATATATATATATATTATCATCTTTAATTTCCAACCAAATAATTTTAAATTAATACCTATGTCCAATTATTGTTTACAATTCTTCCAAATTACACAGTAAATTATCCTGACAACAAAACATGTTTTAATGAATTTTTGAAATTTCTCCTATATCCTAGTAATTATTATTTTTTACAGAAATTGTACATATCAATATTACTATAGAAATAAATTTGATGATTATTACTATCAATTTTGATTTGTTACAGGATCGAATTATGTCAAACCACATGAAAACATCTTCTTTAAATATGTTGTCCTGACAACTAAAACATATTTCAATGAATTTTTTAAAAAATTTCTATTAAATCCTAGTGATTATTTTTTAATAGATAAAGAAAGTGTACATATCAAAATTACTATAGATATACATTTGACGATTATTGCTATCAATTTTGACTCGTTACAGGATTTAATTACAATTAAAACACAAGTAACCATTTTTCTTAACAGATATGTTTGTAGATCATAATTACTGAATAACACAATGACATTAAAGCTATCAATATCTAATCAACAACTTTTTAATTACAAACAAGAAAATTTGCAAAATTTACGAAATCACAATATCATATAGATATAGAAACAACACAGGTGTAACAATATATTACCATGCATTTGGTTATACTCATGCAAAAATTGTAAATCAGTTGAACGAAACAGGTGATAAACAAATATCAGAAATCTTCTGATCAACTCCAGATACAAATTGCTACAAAATGACTTCATACCAGAATAGTAGGTTAATTTAAAAAAAAAAAAAAAAAAATCACGAAAAATAAATTTAAAGAGTAGTATTTCAACAAGATTCAAAAATAAGATGAAATAAAACTGTCCAACGTTGTTACTTTTAGAATAGCAATTTACAATTTTTGCAACATAAAAATGAGATTAAAAAATAAAGAGAGATCCAACTTTTCCTTACTTCATTCATATCAATTTTCTTTCAAACAAATTCTGTTGTCACGGCAATGAAAACAAGAGAGAGTATTATACTAACCATCTAAATGCTAAAACCAATTAAACTTGGAAAGATTATTTTGGAAAGTCGACTGAATTGAAAAGTGAAAATAGCTCTTCAACAGCATGCCATAATTCAACAAAATCCAATTTCAGGGTTACATATATTGATTACA